TGGAGCTTCCTGCAGAAAACATCTGTAGGAGGCAAAAGGATCAATCAAGCTGAAGCCAGAGATGGCTCTGAGAAATGCTGGCCTCYGACAGCTTTGCTCCAGGCACCATTCCTCAACATCACATGAACAACTCTCACTGGCTTCTGCTAATGAATGTGATTTTTTATCATTTACAGGTAAGAGATCCTAAATAATACAAATATTATGTATGATATTTTGCCCCMAAAGTTAAATATTAATGAAATRTACTATCTTGAAAGGCAGAGGTCTGCCCCTAAAATTAAGGAATTTGACACTCTGGACACACCTAGTAAGTCCTACCAAATTCTGAAGAAAMTAATTACTATTCTATCATTTATTCAAGTCTAAAGATGATTTAATGTCTCCAAACTTATTCAAGGCCCTAAGCAACTCAGTGAGACCCTATCTCAAAAGAAAAAATTAAAGGGCCTGGGCATTGGGCTGGTGTTTTGACTCAGCGGTAGAGTGCTTGCATAGCATGTATGAGGCCCTGGGTTGCATTCTCAACACCRCRTAYAAATAAATAAAGGTCCATTGACAACTAAAAAATATATACATTAGAAAAAAAAAAAGGCCTAGGGATTTAGCTCAATGGTAAAGCTCCCTATTCAATTCTCAGCACACCCCACCGCCCAATAAAAGTGAAAYTGGCCCATAGACACAAAAGTCCTAAATAAGTAAATAAATAATACACTGAATTATGCAAAACTAAGCAGGGTTTGCAACTGCATGCATTTGATCTCAGCCCCAACTATTCAGAAAGCYGAGGCAGAAAGGTCAGAAGTTTGAGGTCAACCTCAGCAACTCAATAAGGCCTTGTCTCAAAATAAAAAGGGCTCTCTGGATATCCTCAATGGTGGTGTGCACCTGAGTTCAATTCCCAGCACCAGAAAATCCAGTAAAACAAAAAAATAAAAATAAGCAGGATTGCTGGCTGTGGGCGCACGCCTGTGACCCAAGTGGCTCAGAAGACTGAGGCAGGAGGATCATGAGTTCAAAGCCTGCTTCTACAACTTAGTGAGGTCCATCTGGGGGGAGACTCTGTCTCTAAATAAAATACAAAAAAGTGCTAGGGATGTGGCTCAGTGATTAAAGATCCTTGGGTTCCCTCCCTAGTATCAACATTAGGAAACCTATTAAGCAAGTTTTAGGAAACCTATTAAGCAAGTTAGTACATTAAAACAATAATTTGATTATCTCAACAGATGTCAAAATTCATCATTGTTGAATAAAATGGGGAAAATACATGTCAATAATCTAGGAACAGAAGGAACCCTTCAGCTAATGAAAGAAATCCACCAGATGCCTAAAGCAAGGGCCCTATCTCWTGTTGAAACAGAGCACCATTCCCACTAAGAAACAATTGCCAATTGACACCCTGGAGGCCCTGGTCTCTGTGACTCACAAGGAGAAGAAACCGAGGTAAAGGGTAAGATAAAAGATGCTACTAGCAGTACATGACTTTGACTAGAAAGCCAAGAGAATCAACTGAAAAATTATTAGAACAAATCAGAGTTCAATTAGATCCATGAAGTAAGCAACAAAGCTTTCCTATATGCTAGTGACAGTCAGAAACGTCATTTCAAAAGATCCCATTTATACGGGGTGTGGTGGTGCATGCCTATAATCCCATCGGCTTGGGAGGCTGAGGCASGAGGATCACGAGTTCAAAGCCAGCCTCAGCAAAAARCTAYRCACTAAGCAATTCAGTGAGACCCTGTCTCTAAATAAAATACAAAATAAGGCTGAGGCTGTGGCTCAGTGGTCAAGTGCCCCTGAGTTCAATCCCCAGTACCCCCCTCAAAAAGAAGATCCCATTAAGTAATAAGGAATTCATAAYAAGTAACAAATAATTTTACAAAATTCCTAAGACTAAATCAAATTAGAAATGTAAAAGGCCCAATTAGAAATGTAAAAGACCCACACTTTACAAAAGAACACATATACCTACCCGCAGTCCTGGAGAGAAGATTCAAAACCGCTAAGATAACCATTTCTTCCTAAATCAGACTACATGAAACCATGCCAATGAAAATCCCAACCAGACTCTTACATGAAAAATYGGCAAGCTCATTCTAAAGTTCTAGGTAAGAGAAAATGCAAAATGGTCAAGAAAGGGTGGGSGCAGGGGAATTGCATCCCAGGTCCCAAGCACACAGCAATCAATACATGACACKAGCACATGGACCCTCTGATAAGACATCTCAGAGAAACCCAAATATATGTAGGAGTTTGAGACAGGGACTTGCTATATTGCCCAGGCGAGCCTCAAACTCACAATCCTTTTGCCTCAGCTTCCCRAGTGGATGGGATTATAAAAATGTGCCACACTGCACCCAGCTTGTAGGAAATTTTTAAAAAGGTGCTTCCAATGAGGAATCAACGATTCAATAAATTTTATATCTGAATGACTCTTCTAGGAAAAAAGTTAGCTCTCTACATCCTATAAAAAACAAACTTGAAGGCGGGCATGGTGGCACATGCCTGTAATCACAGTGGCTTGGGAGGCTGAGACAGGAGGATCAAGAGTTCAAAGCCTCAGCAATTTAGCGASGTCCTAAGAAACTCAGTGAGACTCTCTCTAAATAGAAAATACAAAACAGGAGTGGGGATGTGGCTCAGTGATCAAGTGCCTCAGAATTCAATCCCTGGTTACCACCTCCCCTCCCAAAAAAAAAAAAAAAAAATCCAAAACAAACTTCAAAAGAAAAAAAAAAAACTTCAGATGAATTTCTGTATCTGTGTGAAGATATATCTTGAATTCATCTGATTTCTGTATACACATGTACATCATTTTGCACATGCATATATACATATGTATTCAAGGCCAAAACAGAATGTGCGTGAGAAGCAGAAAAATGAGGTAGAAGCTACAGAGAATGTGSGGACTGGTAAAGTCCTTTTGGTTGTTTCAGAAATGGGATATCCTACAGTGTATGTGTTGCTAACACCTCCAGTAATGACCAAAAAACAYCCCGAAGAAACAAAATAAGAGTCCTTAAGGACAGCTGCAGAGCTCAAGGAAGGCCCAGTGGCTTACAACAGGAGGTAAACAGGAGSATACTTGTGGAGTTGGTGAATGGGTGAGTTTTCCCCCAAAGGTTACTGCTTCTTGATGAAGCATGAGCCTGKAACTACCAGGGAAGGAGGATTTAAGTTTTGAGACACCCCAGAGTAGACCGGCTGGGCAGTGCTTAGTGTCCATTTAGGCTTGGAGGGATTCATTTAAGGTACAATGAATGGGCCAGGCTGACTGCTTTCTGGCCCAAGTGCCTGGAGTTCAAGCAAAGAGGTGAATGACCAGGTTCACTCAGGGTTAGAATTTTACTAGATGAAAGGAATGGCAGAGACAGAGGAGTGAAGGTGTGGACAACAGACCCCACAYTACAAAAGGAGGAAAGTGAAGGCAGGAGGTTAATGGTAGGAATATTAGGAWTGTAAGACAAGGATAGAAAACTTTTGTAGAGGAGGTAGCTAAGAAAGCTAGGAAGTGGTAAATGTACAGGTATCTAAATTCTGAAAMTACTGCAATATTTAGTGATATCAAAGGTTCGGGGAGCAAGTAGGGGTATAGAAAACAAAATGGAATAGAAGACAAGGACATTCAGGCTGAAGATCTCAAGGAACCAGGGATAAAGKGCTGAAAAGCTCCGTCATGGCGGGGATGCTCTGACCCAGCAGGGAGAAAGATTAAGCCAGGATGTGAACTCTTCATTTATTTATTTTTTGGTACCAGGATTGAACTCAGGGGCACTTGACCACACCCCCAACCATATTCTATATTTTATTTAGAGACAGGGTCTCACTGAGTTGCTTAGCACATCACTTTTGCTGAGGCTGGCTTTAAACTCGCGATCCTCCTGCCTTAGCCTCCTGAGCCGCTGGGAAGGATTACAGCATGAGCCACCACAYCCGGAAGGATGTGAACTCTTTGATGCCTAGGACAATGCCAATCATAAGGGGGAGAGGAYAGTTAGAGGCAAAAGCTTCTAAGAAGAGGGATCACAGGATTTCCAAGAGGGTCAATGTCTACTAGGGAGGCTGTGGCAAGAGGATTATAAGAAAGTCATAAGGAGGTCACCAACCCTACTTCTGGTGCTGATGCACAAAGGAAAAGGGCAAGGGTGAGAACACAGCCTCCATTTAAAAAGTTATACAACAACAACAACACACACACACACACACACACACAAAAAAAAAAGTTATACCACAGCCTGGTGTAGTGGCACATTCCTGTAATTCTAGCTACTCACGGAGGCTGAGGCAGAGGGATTGAAAATTTGAGGCCAGCCCCAGCAACTTAGCAACACCACACCTTTTTAAAGAATTATATAGGGCTGAGATGTACCTCAATAGCAAAGCACTTGCCTAGCATGCATATGGCCCTGGGTTCCATCCCTGATACTGAGGCAGRTGTGTGGGTGGAAAGGTTATATGACAGTCATATCCTCAGGGAATAACCCAGTTTTAAAATGGAATCAGGAGATGGTTAAGACACAGWGGTTCACTGACCACAAAGCAGATGTTCTGGAGGTGATGAAAAGTTAAAAGTACAAGAAAGATATGGTTTAAYGAGGGAATGCACAGCAGCAGGAGAYGAGCAGTCTAGTGGTAGGAATGACTAGAAAGGCTGGGGAAGCAGCTCACAAGGCACCACAGGATTCATCCAGAGCATCTATAGAGGCAGGTGGGTGGACATAGGTCCTTTGCTACAACCTTGAATGCTTATATCGGTGTTAACTGCAAGAGGCTAGGAAGTAGGACTGTTCCTAATTGTGAAACACACGCAAGGAGGTACAGCACAGGGCCTGGCRCTTTCTAAATGCCCAATAAGTGTGTGTGAGTGAATCACTTGGGAAAGACTCAGCCAGTTCCCATTTTCTCCCCSATCTGGCCACAAGCCCCAAGGCCTCTACCAAGGAGCAGGTTTTTAATTTACTATAAGTCTCCCTCACCACAGAGAGCCACTCAGACACCAGTACAAGTCACCACCCACCAGGGGTTTAATTCTCCTAGGACAAAAGGTCAGTTCAAGAGGGTCCTGCCTTGTCCCCATCCAGGGGTAAAGATCTGCAGGGCACCCTGGGAATGTCCAAGCCCAGAGGAGCCTGGGAGTAGTCCCTGAGCAAGTGGAAAAGTGSATCCCAGAGTCTCAGGCCACCTCTTCCTCTTCACTCTCCTCCTCACTCTCATGATACTGTCTGCGATTGGTGTTAACAAAGAGGTCAGAATCATCTTCAGAGGCAGACTCTTCTCCTGATGACTGTGGCTCAGCTGGGAGTTCTGGCTGAGTCTGTCTGCATGGAGGAAGCAGAAAGAGTCAGCCCAATACCTGCTAGGAAAATCATATCTGCAACCAAGGAGTCCCCAAAAAGGAGGATCATTTGGCCAAGGTGTTTAAAAATGCAGCAGTTCCAGAGAGAAAGAGAGAGAGAGAGAGAGAGAGAGAGAGAGAGAGAGAGAGAGAGAAGCAGTTCCTTAAAAAACACAAGGAGAGACAGAGAGTCAGAGCCAATAGTGGGAAAACAAACACTGTCCCCCACCCAAAAAGTTTACTACAGCCATTGGTTTCAGTTAGGAATCAAAACAATTCTACTAACACTTACTAGAACCATATTTCACGCCAGGTACCGTACTAAGCAACTTTATAAGCATTAGCTCCTTCTTACAAAGCTCCTACCTTATACATGAGAAAACAATCTTAAAAGACTAAGTAACACGTCTAAAGTAACTTAACTATAAATGGCAAAGGTAGGAATTTAACCCAGGGCATCTAACTTTCAAGCCATATTCACAACCACATGTTCTGCCACATGTTTAGGAACTCTCACCAGGTATCCTACAAAGAGAGAAATGTAGGCTCTACTTTCTCCAGACAAAGGTAAAAACCCTATTTTCTCTTCCCTACACTAGGGTGTGCTCCTCACCTGTTCCTGTTGTGTTTCTCAGCCACTTCAGAGAAGGCCTCAGGCCTGTGCCAAGAGAAGAGCCAGGTCAGAGAGGACAGAGAAACCTCTCAGCAAAAGAGTTGTTTCCAGCTGTCCCTGCCAGGGATGCCACATTCTTCCCTCTCCCAATTCCCTAGCTAGGAAGTCAGTGTCCCCCAGAAACCACAAAGCTAAGGATCAGGGGCATCCTACCAGAGGCCCTCCTTCTGCAGAGAGCGCACATGGTCCTTGCAGAGAACAAAGGAGATCTCAGCCTTCACCTTTTCTCCCTCTTCAATGGGGTCAACGATGAGAAAGTCCCCTGTAGGCAAGAAAAGGCAAAGTCAGCCATGCTTGCAACGGGGAGCCAGGACCACAGGAAATGATTCTGTCTCCTAGAAGGCTGCCTTTCTCACCTCTCTTAATCCAGATGTTCTTGCGGTATTTGGACGGCATGCTCACCAGGAAGCGCTGCCCTTGGGCTGTCTCCACCTCATGCAGATTATTCCCTGGTGTCCTGAGYACCTGGTCCAAGAAAGACCAAGAGACAGCTTTATCAGTCACAAACACCCTCTGATCTGCAATGCACCCTACTCCCACCCCAGGGKTCCTATGGAGTGGAGGGGTTGGGAGCAGAACAGCCTGTGCCCAGTGCCGCTCACCCKCACGATCTGTTGCTGGTCAGAGGGCACCATGTGCTCCCCCAGCACCTCCTTCACCACATGCTTCCTCTTGGTGGCCTGTGACATGCTGGGTCCTGTCCCAGGGTGGTTAGGAACAAGAATACCGTAAGCTCCTCCTCTGAAGTTATTTTGATGACAGTTTCAGAAGCCAGGCTGTATGAAGATATGAAGATGGGAGGGGCCATTTACTGGAGAGCATCCTGGTTAAGGATTCAAGGTCTCACTGCCTAGATTCAAATTCTGCCTTGGCTATTCCCTGTTTATCTTTTTTTTTTTTTTTAATTTGCTTATTTGCTTTTGATACTGGGTATTGAACTTAAAAGTGCTTTACCAGTGAGTTACATGCCCAGCTTTTTTTTTTTTTTTTTTT